CTTTAATAAAGTTCCTCATGTTGTGGCGACTATTTAATAAAGTTCCTCATGTTGTGGCGACTCTTTAATAAAGTTCCTCATGTTGTGGCGACTCTTTAATAAAGTTCCTCATGTTGTGGCGACTCTTTAATACAGGTCCTCATGTTCTGGCGACTCTTTAATTCAGGTCCTCATGTTCTGGCGACTCTTTAATACAGGTCCTCATGTTGTGGCGACTCTTTAATACAGGTCCTCATGTTGTAGCGACTCTTTAATACAGGTCCTCGTGTTGTAGCGACTCTTTAATACAGGTCCTCATGTTGTAGCGACTCTTTAATACAGGTCCTCATGTTGTAGCGACTCTTTAATACAGGTCCTCATGTTGTAGCGACTCTTTAATACAGGTCCTCATGTTGTAGCGACTCTTTAATACAGGTCCTCATGTTGTAGCGACTCTTTAATACAGGTCCTCATGTTGTAGCGACTCTTTAATACAGGTCCTCATGTTCTGGCGACTCTTTAATACAGGTCCTGATGTTGTGGCGACTCTTTAATACAGTTCCTCATGTTGTGGCGACTCTTTAATACAGTTCCTCATGTTCTAGCGACTCTTTTATACAGTTCCTCATGTTCTGGCGACTCTTTAATACAGTTCCTCATGATGTGGCGACTCTTTAATACAGTTCCTCATGTTGTGGCGACTCTTTAATACAGTTCCACATGTTGTGGCGACTCTTTAATACAGTTCCTCATGTTGTGGCGACTCTTTAATACAGTTCCTTATGTTCTGGCGACTGTTTAATACAGTTCCTTATGTTGTGGCGACTCTTTAATACAGTTTCTCATGTTGTGGCGACTCTTTAATACAGTTCCTCATGTTGTGGCGACTCTTTAATACAGTTCCTGATGTTGTGGCGACTTTTTAATAAAGTTTCTCATGTTGTGGCGACTCTCTAATACAGTTCCTCATGTTGTGGCGACTCTTTAATACAGTTCCTCATGTTGTGGCGACTCTTTAAGGCAGTTCTTCATGTTGTGGCGACACTTTAGTACAGTTCCTCATGTTGTGGCGACTCTTTAATACAGTTCCTCATGTTCTGGTGACTATTTAATACAGTTCCTCATGTTGTGGCGACTCTTTAATACAGTTCCTCATGTTGTGGCGACCCTTTAATACAGTTCCTCATGTTGTGGCGACTCTTTAATACAGTTTCCTCATGTTCTGGGTGACTGTCTTAATACAGTTCCTTATGTTGTGGCGACTCTTTAATACAGTTCCTCATCTTGTGGCGACTCTTTAATACAGTTCCTCATGTTGTGGCGACCCTTTAATACAGTTTCCTCATGTTGTGGCGACCCTTTAATACAGTTCCTCATGTTGTGGCGACCCTTTAATACAGTTCCTTTTATGTCGTGGTTGCGACCCTTTAATACAGTTCCTCCTCATGTTGTGGCGACTCTTTATAATACAGTTCCTCATGTTGTGGCGACTCTTTAATACAGTTCCTCATGTTGTGGCGACCCTTTAATACAGTTCCTCATGTTGTGGCGACTCTTTAATACAGTTCCTCATGTTGTGGCGACCCTTTAATACAGTTCCTCATGTTGTGGCGACCCTTTAATACAGTTCCTCATGTTGTGGCGACCCTTTAATACAGTTCCTCGTGTTGTGGCGACAGTTCCTTCTGTTGTACAGTTCAATTCATTCCTCATGTTGTGGCGACCCTTTAATACAGTTCCTCATGTTGTGGCGACTCTTTAATACAGTTCCTGGTGTTGTGGCGACCCTTTAATACAGTTCCTCATGTTGTGGCGACCCTTTAATACAGTTCCTCATGTTGTGGTGACCCTTTAATACAGTTCCTCATGTCGTGGCGACCTCTTTAATACAGTTCCTCATGTTGTGGCGACTCTCTAATACAGTTCCTCATGTTGTGGCGACTCTTTAATACAGTTCCTCATGTTCTGGAGACCCTGTTTAATTCCAGTTGTGGCCTTTATACATTGTGGCGACCCTTTTAATACAGTTCCTCATGTTGTGGCGACTCTTTAATACAGTTCCTCATGTTGTGGCGACTCTTTAATACAGTTCCTGATGTTGTGGCGACTCTTAAATTCAGTTCCTCATGTTGTGGCGACTCTTTAATACAGTTCCTCATGTTTTGGCGACTCTTTAATACAGTTCCTCATGTTGTGGCGACTCTTTAAAACAGTTCCTCATGTTCTGGTGACTATTTAATACAGTTCCTTATGTCGTGGCGACTCTTTAATACAGTTCCTCGTGTTGTGGCGACTCTTTAATACAGTTCCTCATGTTTTGGCGACTCTTTAATACAGTTCCTCATGTTGTGGCGACTCTTTAAAACAGTTCCTCGTTTTCTGGTGACTATTTAATACAGTTCCTTATGTCGTGGCGACTCTTTAATACAGTTCCTCGTGTTGTGGCGACTCTTTAATACAGTTCCTCATGTTGTGGCGACTCTTTAATACAGTTCCTCATGTTCTGGCGACTGTTTACTACAGTTCATTATGTTGTGGCGACTCTTTAATACAGTTCCTCATGTTGTGACGACTCTTTAATACAGTTCCTCATGTTGTGGCGACTCTTTAATACAGTTCCTCATGTTGTGGCGACTCTTTAATTCAGTTCCTCATGTTGTGGCGACTCTTTAATACAGTTCCTCATGTTGTAGCGACTCTTTAATAAAGTTCCTCATGTTGTGGGGACTCTTTAATACAGTTCCTCATGTTGTGGCCACTCTTTAATACAGTTCCTCGTGTTGTGGCGACTCTTTAATACAGTTCCCCGTGTGGTGGCGACTCTTCAATAATGTTGCTCATGTTGTGGCGACTCTCTAATACAGTTCCCCATGTTGTGACGACTACCAACCATACAGTTATTTTTGTCCCTACTTCATAACTTCACTGAACATGTGTTTTGTGATAGTCTTTGGCGACCCCTGTGAAAAGGTCGTTCGACCCCCAAAAAAGGGGTCGCGACCGCAAGGCTGAGTACCGCTGCCCTAATCCTTGTGTAGGATGTGTTACCCGTCTATTGCGACTTTAAGGTAGATTTTCACCTGTAAAACCTTGAATCTCTCATATACTGATGATGATGCAAGTACATCTTTATATCTCTCATATACTGATGGTAATGCAAGTACAACTTTGTATCTCTCATATACTGATGATGATGCAAGTACATCTTTATATCTCTCATATACTGATGGTAATGCAAGTACAACTTTGTATCTCTCATATACTGATGGTAATGCAAATACAACTTTGTATCTCTCATATACTGATGATGATGCAAGTACATCTTTATATCTCTCATATACTGATGGTAATGCAAGTACAACTTTGTATCTCTCATATACTGATGGTAATGCAAATACAACTTTGTATCTCTCATATACTGATGATAATCCAAGTACAACTGTGTATCTCTCATATACGGATGGTAATGCAAGTACAACTTGTATCTCTCATATACGGATGGTAATGCAAGTAAAACTTTGTATCTCTCATATACGGATGGTAATGCAAGTTAAACCTTGTATCTCTCATATACGGATGGTAATGTAAGTTAAACCTTGTATCTCTCATATACGGATGGTAATGCAAGTTAAACCTTGTATCTTTCATATACGGATGGTAAGGAGGGTAATGCAAGTTGAACCTTGTATCTCTCATATACGGATGGTAATGCAAGTTAAACCTTGTATCTTTCATATACGGATGGTAATGCAAGTAAAACTTTGTGTCTCTCATATACGGATGGTAAGGATGGTAATGCAAATTGAACCTTGTATCTCTCATATACGGATGGTAATGCAAGTTAAACCTTGTATCTCTCATAAACGGATGATAATGCAAGTTAAACCTTGTATCTCTCATTTACGGATGGTGAAGGAAGTAAAACCTTGTATCTCTCATAGACGGTTGGCAATGGAAGTAAAACCTTGTATCTCTCATATACGGATGGTAATGCATGTAAAACCTTGTATCTCTCATTTACGGATGGTAAAACAAGTAAAACCTTGTATCTCTCATATACGGATGGTAATGCAAGCATGTGCCTTATGCACACAATTTCCGCGTCTCGTGTACACCCAAATGAAAATGGATGGAGATCAATCTACTTTGCAGTAACCAAAAGACAATAGACACCCCCCCCCCCCACTCCCCACACACACACACCCCTGTAAGAGCACTGAGAGACCCATTAAATTGAAATAGAATTTTTTTTTTAAAGTATCTGTTTATATATTTCCTTTTTTTCATGTTTATTATTATATTTATTTATTAGACACATTGACAATAATAATACAAATAAAAATAAGAATAATAATAAGAATGTGTTGTATGGTTTTCCCACCATCCCTAATTATTTGCCTAGGACTAGGACATCTGTAAGGTGGTAAGGAAAGTCTGTTAAGGGGGTTGATCCCCTCACTGTTAGTTGTGTGTGTGTGTGTGTGGGGGGGGGGGAGGGGGGGGGTCTGAAGGAGTATGAACCCAACCCAGTTTTTGTCTAGGTGGTTCCGGCGCCTATGCCCTTCTCCACTGTCAAAACAATAATCTATTGGATCCTTGGTCTGCCACCTGAGCCAAGTCAACTATATCATCAGCCCCTGGCTGCCTGGGTTAGACCGAGGAAAAGGGAAAAAGGGTGGGGGGGGTCTGACTTATTTCAAGCAAACAAAATTTAAGTGACCTGAAAACCTCTTTCCGACGCCCTCGACAAACACAATGCTCCCATTTGACCCAGGATTGTGGTGGGAAACTTCCCTGATAAGCGTTGGTGTATTGTCACGCCATTGTTAAAAATGATGGATGTGAAAAATAACCGCCAGCTGAATGGTTTTGAGCGCTCATTTGTCTACCTCAGTACTAAGTTTTAGGGATGCAAATTGTAGATCCGGATACATCGGCATTTGATATTTTGTTCTTAACGTGTACATGAGTGCAGTGATTTAAAAAAAAAAAAAAGGACTTAATGCTTCAAATTATTGTTCATGCAGATAATGGCTTTCAATATCCTGCATTTCTTTGTGCTGTGTGTGTTTATACCAACAATGTGTAAGTTGTCATTTCTGATTTTACAGTGTAACGGTTTAAAGTCGAGAATATGGATTTCGTGACAGTAAAGGGTTCATGTTTCACGCCCTCGGGGGGTAGTAGAGATATAGTGTTAGACCTATTTTTTTATAGACTAATTAATTACCACAATCATTCTCCCCCCCCCCACCCCCACACACACACACACACACGTTTTTTCCCTATTTTATTTTCACAGTAAGGGTTCCGCTGCCCCACTTTGGGTTTGAGGTTTGAACAGCGGATCAATATAATGGCACACGGGTAGTAACCTACAAGTGCTCCGTTCTTCTTCTAACTCAAGTTTGAGTCCGCAGAAGCTCAGCACAGTGCACAAGCTCTGTAGCACCGGCGAGGATCCTGAGATACTTTTGGTAGATTTTTAACTCCAAATTTTGCCCGGGCAGAGCCGTTAGGCTACTCTTTTAAATTTCTAACTGCCAAGGGATTTTTTACGTGCGAAACAATGTACACGGGCGTCCGATCTGACTACCCAGACCAGAGGATATTACTAGAAAGTCCAAGTCCAGGTGAAAAAATCCCAGCCCTTACCGGGGATATAACACAGAACCTCTAACACTTGAGGCGGACACCATACCTCGAGACCACGCAGTCCCCTTACTTTAGGTTGTAAAGCTGCCCTAGCAAACATATTGTAATAAAGTAAAGTAAAGGGCATGTAGGGCTAGACCTATATTTTTATAGACCAATCGGCACAAGATGGGTGATGTGGTCAGCATCACGCCGGCCGCCTTTACTTTCCTGGGACTGCACCAGGTACCCACTCAGGGCTGGGTCGACCTGGGAGCCAAGGTCATTTTTGAAAAAAGTCCAAGGAGAAACATATTGTACAAGGCGATACATTAATATGTGTTTCCTCCAACCAACATTATGGAGCCTGATCTATAAATTGTACGTCCGCACAAAACTCAAGTTCTAGAAAAATACCAAAGCCTTGAAGTAAATGAACAACTAGAACTTTCCGCTAAAGTTTACAAGTGGGGGAAAAGGAGGAGGAGAAGAAGAAGAAGAAGAAGAAGAAGAAGAAGAAGAAGAAGAAGAAGAAGAAGAAGAAGAAGAAGAAGAAGAAGAAGAAGAAGAAGAAGAAGAAGAAGAAGAAGAAGAAGAAGAAGAGAAGAAGAAGAAGAAGAAGAAGAAGAAGAAGAAAAAGAAAAAGAAGAAAAGAGACAATGAAGAAGAAGACGAAGAAGAAGAAGAAGAAGAAGAATAGGGAGAAGAAGAAGAAAAAGAAGAAGAAAGAAGAAATGAAGAAAAAGAAGAAGAAGAAGAATAAGGAGAGGAAGAAGAAGAAGAAGAAGAAGAAGAAGAAGAAGAAGAAGCAGAAAGAAGAAGAGAAGAAAAGAAGAAGAAGAAGAAGAGAAGAAGAAAAGAAGAAGAAGAAGAAGAAAAAGAAGAAGAAGAAGAAAAAGAAGAAGAAAGAAGAAAATGAAGAAGAAGAAGAAGAAGGAGAGGAAGAAGAAGAAGAAGAAGAAGAAGAAGAAGAAGAAGAAGAAGAAGAAGAAGAAGATTTTTGAAGAAGAAAAAAGTGTTTAAAAAATGATCAGGCGAGCATCTGGCAGCTACACCAGGGGAGCTCACTGTACACTTTTACTTTATGAAGTCTACTGAAAATATAGTTTAAGTGTTGTTACTGTTGTGTGTTTGTGCGTGTCTGCGTGTGTTTTTTTTCAATTGTTCATACCTCATAATCAACATCGTTAATGTACCAGTGTGTGCCGTGATGCGTGTGAAGAGATCTTGTGCGGAAGTGAAGGGTTGTCTTCGACAGTTTCCGATGATAGTGGACCTGGTGGAGAAGGACAAGGCTGGGGCACTGGTAACCTTGACATACGAAGTACTTCTCAACGACGTCTGCAGGCAAGTCATAATATTTATATATGTCGACAGGCTTTGTGTAAATTAAATTTAATATTTGAGAATTTTGCTGACGATCTTTCCCTTATACCCGATCTTCACTAACCAAACGCGGACACAGTAACCTCTCAAAGGAAAGGCTAGCTGGCTGAAATAGATTGCTTGTTATTTCATCTTTTGGCTCTCCTCCGAACTTCGTCGCCATATTATGGCGGACAAACAAATAACCTAACAGGATCTCGGTCGAGTTAAAATGCGGAGTGCCTGCCGAGGAACAAATCGCGGCAAAACTAGGATTGCCTCCCAATAACGGGCCAATATTATCGAGGGCAAACAAATACTCTAACAGGGTCTCAGCGATATATTAATTGCGGCCCTGTTTCTGCGACTATGACGCACCGCCGACAGTATCCCCTGCGCCGCAACGCCAGCGCGGATGATGGAAAAAAAAAAGGGGGGGGGGGGCGAAACTAGATTGCTGGGACTCACGAACAAAAAAATTGGAGGAAGTTGCAAAAAATGCGGTAGCTGCTGCTCGTGAGTCCCAGCCATCTAGTTTAGCCCTTCTATCCGCGTCGCGCGTACCGGCGCAGGGGATACGCTCAGCGGTGAGTTCAATCGGAAGAACACTATTGCTAACCTGCCTCTGAGCGCGAGGTCTCCCCGCCATGTCGCTATTATCGTGTGTATTGTTGCGTTTTTCGAAATTGTCAACTAACAGTAATCCTAGTTTTGCCGCGATGTGTTTGTCGGAGGAAGTCCGCATTTTACACACGACTGAGGCCCTGTTAGGGTATTTGTTTAGCCGCCATAATATGGGAACAAAATTAAGAGAAGAGCCAATCACTTTCTTCTGCCTTTCTAACTCACAATAGAGCGTAGGTCCTAAACCAACTCAGGCCAAGTCGTTCTATCTTTCACTGTGTCGCATACAGCTCGCCTCATGTCCTTACCATCTTTTAACTTACGCTCTAGCTCCCTACTCCATGGGGTGGGGGGGGGGTCCTATACTTCTATGCCCCTGTGGGTTCCAGTTATATTTGTCTCAGGTTTTCTCAATGTGTGTCCTATCTTGTGTCTTTTCTTGACCTCTTGGTCCACTGGGACCTGTTTAGTTCTCCCTCAAAGCTCTGCCTGCAATAATGATTCTTTTATGCGATTGAATTCCCACTATTCTGTGCAGGCACAAGTTAACGAATGTGTGTAGTTTATTTGCAACTGCCTTAGTTGTTCTCCATGTTTCCGCTTCCTAGAACAGTGCTGATTTGACCTTAGAATTAAACATGTTTAGTATTAGTTTATTTAATCTACTTTTCCCAAAACTGCCCAGCATTCTGCTCAGTGAAGTAACTGTACACAATCGTAAAGTAGTTATGCTCCACGCAAAAGTATACATGCTCCACTCACAAGTAATTCTGCATCGTGTTTGTAGAGAAGTCATTCTCCATCACACAGAAGTTAATTTGCCCTATACATATGGTGACCATACGTCCCGTTTAGGGACAGTTCCGCAAATGTCCCGGTAAACAAAAAAAAGTTATCTAGGAAAATAAGCGATAAAGACGTATTCAACCTGAAAGGGAAAACATATTTTACTCGAGTGAAACCCATACAAACAAGATATGCAAATTAACTTGAGATTTACACACACAAAAATTGTTTAACTGGACTATACATACATTTACAAAATGAGAGGGAAAACAATTAGATCTATACACTAGATTAGTGGAGCCAATAAAAACAAGGCATGCAATCCAACTAGAGAAAATTATTTTAATATTAATTAATTATTATGGCCTATAAAATTTAAAGACCTTATAATAATAATAATAATTTAGATTATTAAATATATTATTGGGAAGGGGAAACTAACTTACTTTGGGGCGGGGGGGGGGGGGGGCGCTTGCTTGGGATATCCCGTTTTCAGTTAAAAATATTCGTGGGATGTCCCGTTTTCAGCTCAAAATATTATCGCTATGTCCCGTTTTCAGCTCAAGATATTATGGTCACCATACCAATACCAAAGTAAATTTGCTCAATGCCGAAGCAAATGTGCTTTTACAAAAGTATATTCTAGGCTGCATGAAGTCGTGCGACCTAGGCCACATGCATTTTTGGGACTGAGGCAGTGAAGTAGGGGGTTGGGGTAAGGCCAAGTTCTACATGTTCTGTGACCGTTAATAGCGCTCTCATCTTGGAACATAGAAAAAGGGATAACGCCTGCCGGTGACGACAGGTCACTAAGCGTGACAACCTCGCAATATAGGATAGGCCCTACGACACGACGAGGCATGAATGGGAAGGGAAGTCACTCTCTTTCTGGACCTGAAAACGCCTTCCCTTAGAACAAAAAAAAAAAAAAAACACTATCCCCTGGAAAGACCGAAAGGTTCCAAAAACAAGAAAATGTATTATCTGTAACATAATGCTCCTGGTTATAACTTCCAGGAAGTACAGCTGAATGCAGTTTTGATAAATACATTCTGTTGTCTTAAAACATTTATCAACTCCACCAACAGCAAACAAGAAGAGCTTAAAACCTGCTTGGCTCAGACTACATGCTCAGTGTTTGAACAGTCCTACACTGGTCGAGCAACTCGGGATGTCCTCTCTTATATTTGTGGTGCGGGCAGAGAAGGTAAGATTACCCTGTTATGTTTAAATTGTAAATTTAGGTAAATGACACACTTTCACGAAGAGGTAAATTTGATACGCGATATTAGTTTTATATTTTTTTTATTGACTGTTAGGCAACTTCAACATCTGCTGAAGTCAAAGTCTCTGTCTCACAACACCAAGATCAAAATATTTAAAACGTTGTTAAGACCGGCCGTTTTGTATGGCTCAGAATTTGGAGCACTACTAAAATAGATGAAGCCGTATTACAATCTTCGAAAATAGTCTTACGACGTATCTTTGGACCCATCAAAGATGCAAACAGCGGGGAGTAGATGGTAAGAAGCAACAATGAAATTGATAATCTGTTTAAATCACCATTCATCACTAGTATCATGAGAGCTAATAGACTGAATTGGCTGTATACACGAGAGAGATGAATGGCCGTAGACCACGAGGCAGACCAAGAAAGCATTGGAGACAGACAGACCTGGGAACACGGTGTCACCAACTGAAAAGAGAAGGCCAACTAGAGAGATGAGTGGAGGAGGGTGATATCCGCATCAATGAACCTCAAGGACTGTGAATGCTGAAGAAGAAAAAGAAGAAGAAGAAGAAGAAGAAGAAGTTAGGCATCTGATAAGTGATGTGGTCTCTCTCTCTCTCTCTCTCTCTCTCTCTCTCTCTCTCTCTCTCTCTCTCTCTCTCTCTCTCTCTCTCTCTTGTTATTTCAGTTTTAACATATGCTAGTGAAAGTTGGAACATCACTAAAACATAGACAGAAAATTTAATGCATTCTGTAACAAATGCCGGAGGAAAATGTTGAACATAAAATGTGATGCATTCAAGGGGGGTGAAGAAATAAGAAAAATGTCTCGGCAACCACTACTATCAACATTTATAAGACTGAAAATTTTACTATATTAGACGAATCCTGAGAAGAAACGAGCAGAGAATCAACGCACATGCAGTAAATAGGAAATAATTGGATTAAGGATGTGAGGGCGCCCCAAAAAAGAACCTTAAAAGAAAGGTTGGTGAGTGAGGCTCAATTAATTTCGAACACATAACAATCTGGCATAAAATGCAAGCCTGCTTATCTATCAGGGCTGTCAACAGTTGTGCACGATAAAATGGGAGATATAGAGGCGTTAATTTGGGAGCTCACCCCCTTTACAAATTCTGGGAGTAGGGTCTCAATGGGCCCTAAACATTGTTTCAAGCGCACAATGATAATAATTTTCTGAAAGATAAATTAATCAAGCAACAGAAAGTGTATTGATCGGCACTCAAAGAAAGAAGTAGAAAGATAGAAGAACCCACTAGACAACATAAAAACAGAAAGCTATAGTTACCTTGCCGGGAATTGAACCTGTCACCTCCAGACAGCTTACTACTGAGTTATGGCAGTTTCCGATCTTTCTGCAGTCCAGCACCTCGTCATTCAAGAAGGCACAGCATTATTATACTCAGTGACTCGCTGACTGTTCTTCAAGCACTATTAAGCAAAAATCAAGGCATTTAAGGGCCAGCATTGGATTGTTTTCCAAGGAAGCAGAACTCACCAGCTCACTGTGTTATTCCAGAAAATGATAGAGCATATGATTTGGCAAGAGGTGGAAGTAATCTTCCATAACATCATCCACCACAGAGTTACAAAGAAACCAAAAACAGCCCTACAGCAGTCGTTCAATAGGAGTTGAGGAGGTAGATAGGAGAGTGACAGCATAAACAAACTCAAAAAAAAAAACGTCCATTTTTAGGCCTCAGACAGGGCACTGCGAGCTTAGAGTACACCTATACATGATGGGCAAAAAGAATATGCTGACTGTGATTGTGAAGCAGACAAACTCCTGAACATGCACTGCAGGATTGCCCTAACTACTCTCTGACCAAGACGGGACTGTGAATGTTTAGCATGACAGATGTCGAACGCAGAAGAAAACAACAGTAAAAATATGTTCAACCTCAGTAATAAAAGTAGACAGGCCATTTCGAGACTACAGTCATAAGCAATCACATTGTCAACCACACATTCACACAATTAAGCCACACCATCCCTTACTCCGTGTCTATTCTACCGTGTCTTTTGTGCTTTCTATGGAATAGTCTAACGGGTACAGACAGTTTAACAACTAATCTTCATTCACAGACAGAAAGCAAATTGTGTTCATGTTTTTTTCGCCCTCCTAACGTCACTCCCACTTACTTGTAAAGGTCAGGATGGGTTTATTTTACGTTTCACCAGTCCAATCGGAATTATGTTCGCCGTTTTCTCTTATTAATCGCTTAGTTCTTGTTGTTGCTATTTTCATTTTTAGTCCGTTTGTTTTTGACATGACGTCCTGTCAAGAGAGAGTTGCCGCCCCCTGCAGAGTGTTCAGAATAATTTGCTTTCGCTATATTTTTATAGGACCAAGGTATGCGCTGGTAAGCCTCCAGTTTCAGGCACCACTGGCCATTATCCTAAACTGTATAGACCCTCTATACCCCATTAGAGAACAGGCAGTCAACAGAATCAAGACCAACCCTTCCATAATATGCTGTCAGAGCCTTCCTCCTAGAGCACCTGCAAACCAAAGCAAAGATCTAGTACGTCCCTTCATTAAATTCAGTCTTCGGGTTGCAGTTTATCTTCTTAGGATACGGCTGGTATCCTCCTGAATGCGCTCCTCCGTCCGAAGCTGTATGCACTTCTCCATCCGAAGTTGTATGCGCATCTTCAATGTCAGTTTTGGTATATGCCGCAATCTTTAATATAATTATCAATTTAAAATAAATGCAGACCCAGGTAGATAACGAAATTGCATCTTTTCTATAGAATAGTTACATTTACAATCAATGCTTTTCGTGTGCCATTTACTATTCAGTCAATAAGTCTGGTAACACTAATGTCTGAATCTCTGCTGGTACGTACTTTTATTTTGTGAGTGTTTGTGATTACTCAATGATTGTGTTAATTTGACCCAGCTCTGCTGTCTGAAGCCAGCTGTTTCTCCAGGGATGACTTTGAGTTAGGCATCTACCAATGCTCCAAGGCCATGAAACTGGAGACAGACATTGCTGCTCTACAGATTCAGACTGGAATAGGTGACAGTACCAGCTTTTGCTCGTGAGTTCAAGACTTTTAACAAATTTTGTTTTAACAGAGAAAAGAGTAAAAGAAGTATCATCAGCCATCAGCCTCCACACCAATGATGATATATGGTTGTATAGAACAGTTTGATTGACTTAGAGTGCACACTGGGCGGATTTCTTTGACATAACATGATTACAAATGTTACCGAAGCCCACTTTATACTGTGAAATAGAGAGTATTGTTAGCAAACAACCCAGTTCCATACTTTGAGCAATGTGGTCATGTTTTTAAAGGACAAGAATAGACACTCCCTGATCACTGCGGTCAAAGATATGGCCGATTTACTTTCAATAAAATGTCCTGGTACTTATATTATTTCCTGGAGGGGCGATTGCAGAGCCCAGTGAGAGGTAAAATACTCCACTATCGTGAGTCGACGGAATGAATATATATATATATATATATATATATATATATATATATATATATATATACACACACCACACTGATTTGTAAACAAGCACTGCTCCATAGCTTGTCCCTAAAATTATTTATTATTTTAATTTATACTTTGCATTCACTAGGTTTCAGTTTAGAATGTGACCTAGAAATAGTCAAACTGTAAACACGTCCAAGAAATAAAAGCCCACACGTGAGATAGTAGCTTCGAATGCGAACAAAATAATAAACTTGAAACTACTTGACATGTTGCAGAAATGGACAAGTGCAAAATTTGAAGTGTTTTCCCACCAAAATAATATAACATTAGCGCTACAAGGATGGCTTTTGGTTATTGGACAGTTTTCACAGGGGCTAGCCTTTCTGGAACACATGTTAAGTCGTGCAATGGCTGTAGTCTTTTCACACAAGATCCTTCTTCTTCTTCCTCTTTGTTTTCACTTCCTCTTTTACCGTTTCGGGTGTGGAGGGAGATCTAAGGTTCTGCTTCTTACTTTTCTGACCGCCTCAATCGTAGACCCATCGAGCTGTTGTAGAGTTTCTCTGATTTTATCTTTCCATATTATTCTTGGTTCACCTCGTGCTATGCGTTCTTCTCCTCTTTTAGTGAATGTTCTGTATGATATAGCTTCATCCCTGTGTGGGTTCTGGGGCCCTATTATAGGGAAAACAAGAACAGACCCACTGCCTACCCAAAAGCATGTCGTAAGAGTCGACTAATTGGGAGCTTCCTTCGAAAATCGGAGTGCATCTGTCTGAGAGACAAGGAACCAACAGTCTACACTCATGTGTGTCAGATCTGTCAAACGGATGCACACGCAACACTCAGGTTCTGGAACAGGACTGCAGTCCAAAAGTGGACGAACAACCAGCACTTTCAGTGGGAGTTTACAGCCGGTGAATGCGAAGAAGAAGATATAGAGTCACAAGGCATTCTGAGTGGGCAAACCATTTGATTTGCTGTCTTTGTATGTTATTTAGAAATGGTTATATGTCGAATTTTTCTCTCATTCCTGATTTATTGCTTCTAGTCCCTCCTGCAACCATTCTTAGACATCTCATTCCATGGTTCCATTTTGTTTTCTGGTTTGTTGTAAGTGACCATGTCTGGCACTTGTAGCACAGGACTGGAAATGAATTTGCTTCGTATGAGATGTTTCTTTATGCAGTCTTGTGTTGTAAAGAAAGAGTGGGAGGGCTACAGCTGTCCCCATTCTTTGTTTGCATTACTGCATGGGATGTTAATTTCTTCAGCTTCGATGCTCGCCTTATGCCTTCGCACACTACTGCTATATTTAGGTTCTGCTAATACAGAACACAAGGGAAATATCAGGATAGTGCAGGAACTCGGTAGATAGCATGGTGTGTGCATCAAAATTACAGACTACCATCCTGTTGTGCCACGGAGAGAAATTAGAGCCAGTTACAAGTGTCTCCTATCTTGGAAACAAATCCTACCATTTATTGACCGTTGTGCGGTTTTACCACGCAATTTGACTTTCACTAGTTTGTCCCTGCATTCTCAACCTTACCATTTTCCCGCTGTAGTGAAAATCAACGCACGGACGTCTGCAATATTTTTTACAGCTGAACTCTAACTCTAGTATGTTTAAGAGGCCTTTTCCTTCGCCCTTTTGTGTAGTGATTATATAGCCCTTTGCCTATATCTTGTAGACCAATCGACACCTGGTCAATATCACGTCGGCCCCCTTTACTTCCTATGACTTTACCTAGTACCCATTTTAGGTTGGCTTGTCTTGGAAAACAAATTACATGCTGCAGGAGATCGTGGATTATGGAGAGGCATGATCGCCCACGCCAGTCGGCAAGGCACCTGATGATGATGATGATGTCTTGGGAGCCAAGACCAGTTTTTTAATAAGAAAATCGGCTCGCTGCAGATTAGAACCCACGATCTTTAGACTCGCAGGCCAGCGTCTATCAGTTTACCACTGTGGTTCGTGTCTAGTAAGTTTGCATCATCAGACTGCGTTCACAACGCGTGAGCCACACGGAACTTTTCCGTCGTGCCACTGTACTATAGGTAGGCACAGGAATCACATAATATGACAAGCTGGACTGGTCAGACCAGCTTGCGTTAAGACCTGTTTTTTTTTCCAGGGCCATTTTTTGCAATCACAGTGGAACTGCAATATTCGTCTTTTTAAATTAGTCATTTGTGATACAAATTATTGTTTGATGTTTGCCCAAAAAGCCAATACTCATCCTTCCTGCAAAGTGGCCGGCGAGTCAAAAACGAAGAAAGGGGGGGGGGGGGGGGGGTAGGGGGCGATGAGCCGATGCCAAGTACCGAAATTAAGGAATGTTTATTCACTTGGGTGAAAAATTAGGTTTTCATAGAGAAATGGCACTCAAACATCGCTATAGTTATTCAGTGTATCAATTCGTTTAACGAAAATGTGTTTGGACTGTAGGAAAAATAAGGACAAAAAAAAAAAAAAAAAAAACACACACACACACACACACACAAACAACACAGGATAATCTCATACAAATAAAAAGAATAAAATTTAAAAATCAGTGCTTATGAATCGTTTGTAAATGCTGCTAACAAGGTTAGGAGGACAACAGTCACCAGAAATGACATTACCTGATATCACGACGGAAGGCAACTCTCCCTTATAAACACCAGACAATTTGTTTTCATCCAAAAAATAATTTCTTTTAAAAATCTTATTTATGTAGGCCTGCTCCTGAATTTGTGTCATAATGATAAAGCAGTAATATGTACAGTGGCTAATATGTAATTAAAATGCATTCACAGTGATTTTTGAGATCGATTTCCGGGTCAGTTTCTTTCTGTGTGTTTGGCTGCTGGTTCAAAAAATAAAATGGGACACATTCGGGTGGGGAGTTAATTACTATGGGGAAACTGCGTATTATGTTCTTCCTTTATTAATATTCGCTCCACTCTCAGGAAGGGAGTAATGACGAAAATTTGAGCTCCACTCTACACGAGTTTGACGTTTCTTCTCAGATGCTCATCTCTGAACCGTTATCTTTTGCTTCTGCCCCTTTTGCACACACACACACACACACACACTTTCCATAAAATGCGATCCATATCACACCTCTATACAGTAGAAAGTCTGGGTAGTATTGTAAAGACTATGTATTAGAAAGACACACAAATACATTGTTCAATACACGAGCTCCCACAGTAAATCCCAGAATGTTACACACTGAAATATTTGTTATCACATCTATTTTTGTTGTTGATGCTTTCAGAGTGTTTGACAGCTTGCTCAAGTGTGTCCAGTTAAACGTCCAGAGATCATGCTCCCATAGAGCTGCAGACTTTGCAAGTTCCGTGTACGGTCATACAATCAAAGCTCTGGCAAAACATATCGGCTGTACTTTCAACTTCAAGTCTTAGAGCTAACTCCAAATTATGACCGCAACCACTCCCTCCCCATTCCGATATTGATGATACCTTTGACATCCATTGTTACGTGTATTTCCGTAACCATATGATGCGGTCATATTATTTCCCATATTCATTATTTTCCTCTTTTTGTACTCTTTTCCACATTGGATATATAGTAAAAGTACTTTTTCCTCGCCTTGAGGCGTACTGGGCTAGTTCTATATTATACAGACTCATCGGCGGGTAATAAGGTCGATATCACGCCACGGCCTTCACTTCCCAGAACTTTACCATGTAACATTTAAGCCTGGGTCGAACTGACAGCCAATATCATTTTTTTAAAAGATCCGGCTCCATCAAAAGGCGAACCCACGATCTTCGTCAAGCATCGCTACACTACTGTGTATATAGCGCTAAATCTGATTCACAGACCAATCGGTGGGTCAAAGTCATGCAACCGCCTTTACTTCCTAGGACTTGACCTGTTATTCATTTAAGTACCTGGGAGTGAAGGTGACAAGTTGCCTCTACTTTCTTTTATTCAGTTCTCTTGCACTGCAACCATCACGTATCAGCAACACTGCACGCTAGCGACACCGGTATAGTTTTAACATCCCCCATTGGGGGCCTTTTGGCTTATAGATATATAGGGCAAACAGTGGATGCTAATAGCCAGCGTTCTTCTGATTGTCGCCATAGTATGCCATTGTAATGGGAAATGAACAAACAGAACCGGCTGGTTCTGCATTACTTGGTGGTGAACTGACGCATGACAAGCTAGATGTTGTGAAGATCCTTTGGGAGAGAGTGAACATTGCAGAGGGACAAACTGGTCGTCATGGCTGCGGGGAATGATGCTGCCAGGAGCGACTAGAGGATCTGGCCAACTCAATGGATACACAACCAGACAGTTATTGATGCATTCAGGAACTGCAACTCTGCACTTGCTGCTGAAGATGTGAGACGGGGCGCTTATAGAAGTGTCTCGAGTGTTTGTGAACTATTAATTCAACAAATATGGGATTAACACTACATGCCAAAGGGCCAGGGAGCAGGCCCTTTGCTTGTTTAAAAGTAGGTTTTAATCTAAATTTAAAATGCTATAACATGCATATTTGTTTTTCAAATCGATTAAACGGATTTTGTCGATTCTGCAGTATTTTCTTATACATAATTAATGCATATGCAATCATTTATTGTGGTATTTCTTTTGTACTGACTCATCTGGTAACGATTGGCCAATTGAATTGCACTGAATCATTGATCAGTTCCCTCGCCTAGTACTTTCCTCATGTCCCGTGTGACTTTATTGCCCTGTCTACTTTCACATTCGATTTTGCCCCATTAACTTCTATTTTCTTATTGGATGACAATTTATACGCCACTGTCTTCTTTCCTATCCTTTATGAAATTCAGCGAGTATTTTTTTTTTAAATCTCGGTATTTAAGATTTTGTGTATCATTTAAGTTCAAACCTGTGGATTGTATTTTTTTTTAAATATTGAACAAGAAATAAAAACAAAAATAGAATTTCATCTACAATGCCGTTATACCATATTGCTTATTATCCTTCTATGTCGTACTTGCTACACATTTTGAGTCTTCTGTTTATTTTTATTTTTTTTAATTCTCTGCTAAATAGTAATTCAAAAAAAAAAAGTCATATCAATAAATTGTGGTAGAAATAATTTGGTCAGCCTCTATTTTAACGGTAAATTTGTAATCATTACATAATCATTTTGACATTCACATAATAAATATAAATTCATCAAATGGTTATAATGCACTTCGTTTTTTATCTTCAAATACTTAATCTCAACTCTGACAACATCTACAGTTTATCTTTACTAATCTAGCTATTCTTCTTCTTCTGCCTTTCTATCCCCCAATGGAGCATAGGCCCTTAACCAACTCACGCCAAGTCGTTCTATCCTTCGCCATTGCATGGAGCTCTCCCCATGTCCTCCCAATCTTTCTAACCTCATTCTCCAGCTCTCTTCTCCATGTGTTTTTTGACCTTCCTTTATTCCTATGCCCCTGTGGGTTCCAATGCAAAGACATTCTAGTTATGCTGTTCTCCTGTTTTCTCAGTGTGTGCCCTATCCAACGCCAGCGTCTTTTCCTCACCCCCTGATCCACTGGAGCCTGTTTAGTTCTCTCCCAAAGTTCTACATTAGTTATTCCATCATACCATTTTATTCCCTCTATTCTGCTCAGGCACCAGTTAATGAATGTCTGTAATTTATTAGTAATTGCCTTGGTTGTTCTCCATGTTTCCGCCCCATACAATATTACTGATTTGACATTAGAATTAAAAATTTTAAGTTTAGCATTTCTTTTAATTTCTTTTGACCTGGACAAATTCCCTAGTGCTATGAAAGCCCCTCTTGCCTTTTGTATTCTTATTTTAATATCTCTATCAGTTCCTACATCTTTATCTACATTACTGCCTAAATAGGTGTACGACTCCACGTTTTAGAGTGGGGTGCCATTAAGAGAAACCACATTAATATTTGCCTGATTTATTCTCATTATCTTTGTCTTTCCTTTATGGATTTTCAGACTAAGCTGCTGTGATCTCGCATTAAGTATATTTAATTTATCTTGTATCTGATTCCGTGAATGGGACAGAAGAACAATATCATCAGCGAAGTCCAGATCATCAAGCTGTTTTGTAGGGGTCCACTGAATTCCATTCTTGGTGTTAGCAGTTATTGTTTTCATAGTCCAGTCTATAGCCAGTAAAAATAAGAGAGGCGACAATCTAGCTATTACACAGCAACTTATTCTGTAAGAAAGATGTTTCAGACTAGTTATCAATTATGGCACCTTTCAAAACAGCTTTAAATTGTGCAATAGGAAAGTTTGAGAATCACATATGGCCATTGATTCCTAGTTCAACTAGGGCGGGGATAACGTTCTCCCTCTTCATTGCACAAAAGCTGGACAGTATTTTAGAGACCATTAAAGAATAAAAAACCGACAACACTGAACTTCAGATCTTCCCCATATCTGCAATCTCCGTTTATTTGGAAGCATTTATGACCATTTTCTATAGGAGGTACTCTCAAGTTATAAGTTGTCTCTTATGACAATGGGTTTAGTGCTAAATTCTTTTACTTCAGGAACAAAAGGATATGCAAATATTCACAAAAGTTTTCATGAGATCGGTCATGAACAAATTGTCTGCATCTACTCACTGAATCCAGTTAAAGAAAAAAACACCTTTGGCAAAAATCATTAAAATGCAACAGACCTGGACTAAAGAAGTCGGATTTTTTGTATACAGAAACCATGAGCTGTAAACCCTTTGCCTCAGTAATATGGAAACCGCAACCCTTCGGACTTGATTCCATGATAGATACCATACATTTGGGAAAAATACGGCTTTTTTGTCTACCCCGGACCACAAGGAGGTCGTCACCTGTCGCCGCGCAGAAGGTTTTAGCTAACTGCGCTAGTGAGCCGGGCAAAGGAGTCTGATAAAAGAAGGTCAAAGACCATGAGTTTTTTGGTGAGGCCAAGATGTTTAGTCAGTAGCATTTCCTTTGCACAACATAACAACCTTTCCCTTCCCACGTCCGATACACCCATTTGGAGATCATCTGCCACAACCTACCCTTTCGTTGGCTTTCTATTTCTTTAATAGCCACCCTTCAATATTCAGTTCTTGAAGTATGGATGCAATTGTTCTTTTCTTTAACCAGGATTTTCTTAGAACCCGTCTGTAACATTTGTATTCAGAGGCATTAGTGAGTGTCCAGGTCTTACAGACTGTGGTGCCATGGAAAAGATGCTCTTAGGCATCTCATTTGTGTAGTTTTGGCTGTCCCACTCAATAATTTATTCAGTTGTTTTAGTCTTAAATGGTTGGCTCTGTGGCTAAGTCGATGCGAATGCTTCGTAATGCTGGGTTCGATCCCAGCTGCAGGCCATGGGCCTTGAGTTGGTTTCGACAGTGGTATCAAGAAAGCCGACCCTCCAGGGGCAATGGCAAACTACTGGACGTAAATTTGCCTAGAAAAACCACACAACAGCCAGTTGCTGTTGGGGTTGGTTCTGCAACGTCCTGTAAAGGATACGCAACTAACCTTTTAAAAAAGTCTTAAATGAGCAACTGCCAATTGTTTCTTTCATTGTGTCACCATTGTTGGTAATGATGACCCCAGATATTCAAAATTATCCACAAATTCAATTTTCTATACTGGTCTGTGATGTGGATTGCGATACTGTATCAGCGTCATTCCAGCTCTCTGGTATTTTATGACCACCGATATTTATGGCTCCCCCGAAGGTGTCTCCACCTTGCCGTGGTGGGGAAGCTTGTGTTTCTCAATGACCCTGAGAGCTATGTCAGCGATAGCGTTGCTACCAAAAGGGCCTCCCAAGCCGGAAAGGTCGAAGAGTAGAGAACAGACAAGGGTTGGGGGTTGAAGCGTGAGGCCGACACACCCACCTTCGTAAAACTATCTCGTCACAGATAACTTTTCCTCGATTTCGGATGGATTTAAACAGACAACTAACCTGGAACGTTTAAGGACTTTTGAAAACTATGTATGGAAGACGCTTATAATATAGTAATGCGCATGAATTTTACCACCCATGCTTTTGTTTTTGACTTGATATTCATAATATGCATATTATTACACGAACATAACATGCTTTATTGACAAAACACAACTGCTGTGCGAAAGATGGGAGTTTCAAAGGGTCAAATGTGAGACAGGTCTGTGTGCCTAATTTGTGACCCTTTGAAAATAAAGTTTCATTCGTTGGAATATATAACGGCAAAGAGTCAGACCCGTTTCAAATAACATCTGGTTGAAAGCAAGATAATGCTGCCCCCACTTCTTTTCACCTTGGCCCTGGACAAAATTATAGGAAATTTGAAACAAGTGTGTCACTATAGGAGAAACTACAAGAAAACTTGGATATGCTGATGACATTGATATCGTTTGAGAAAATGAACTAGAGACTGTTAAAACACTGTCTTAAAAGAATCAGCTCAAATAAACGGAAACATATAAGTACTTGGGTGCAAACTTCAACAGCTCCAACATACCGAGAGAAGAAATACAATCTGGAAAAAAAGTATACTATGCACTTCAACATCTGCTAAAGTCAAAGTGTCTGTCTCGCAACACCAAGATCAAAATATATAAAACGTTGATAAGACCAGTCGTGTTAAATGGCTCTGAAACTTGGAGGACACCTAAAAGAGACGAAGCTTTATTATAGGTTTTCGAAAAAGTCTTACGACGAATCTTTGGACCAATCACAGATGCAAAACAGCGGTGAATGGAGAGTGAGAAGCAACAATGAAATTCATAAGCTCTTTAAAAACCCCACTGATCACTGGAGAAAGCTACAGAGAGGTGAATGGAGGCGGGTGATATCTGCAGCCATGAACCTCAATGGCTCGGAATGCCGAAGAAGAAATTTATGTTAAACTAATATTGCGACAGTACACGGACCTGACGGACTCCTGTCAAACTAGTCTGATGTCTCACCATGTTCTTCTTCTCTTCCACCTTGTACATCATCGAAATGTCGGGGGGAGATGTAATGTTCGTTGATGAGCTCTGTCAAGAGCATTATTAAGACTGATGGTCATTTCTGTAAGGCTGTTCTCAATGCCATCACTCCATATTTTCCGAGGTCTTCCACTCGCTCTATACCCGTTGTAATGTTTAAGTGTGGCTCGCTGTGGCAGATAGTACCAAGGCATTCTTGTTAGGTGTCCAAACCACTTCATTTGTTGTTCTTTGATGACCTGTAAGACTGGCTTTATTCCTAGCATTCGTCTGATCTCTTCTCCTTCTTCTGGCGGAAGGTTCTGGTTGTTCGTCCACTATTGAACTGCAGTCCTGCTCCAGAACCTGAGTGTTGCATGAGCATTAGTTTTACAGATCTCATTCTCTTGAATACAGACTGTTGGTTCCTTGCCTCTCCGGCTGATGCACTCCGACTTCAAAGGAAGCTCCCCAATTAGTCGACTCTTACGACATGCTTTTGTGGAGGCAGTGGGTCTATTCTTGTTTTCCTCCACAATGGGGCCCGGGAACCCACACGGGGGCGTCTGATTTCATATTCTGTCTTTTCTTGAAACTCCTGCAGCTCTTCTAAGGCATTTCATCTCTGTCGTCAAAATTTTACGTTCATTGAAGGATGTAAGTGTCCACGTTTGGCATTGATAGCATAGCGTTGGCCAAAAAATAGTTCTGATACGGTTCACTTTAGTACTCCGAGGTATCTGCTTGTGTGTCAACAGGGGAGATATTTGACCCATTACTTGATTTAGCACATCTGGAGCTAATTTCTCTGTCCAGTTTTCCGTTCTGATTTTGAACAGTCAAATGCTTTTGAATAATCCAAACAAAAAACATGAGAATAATAAAAAATGGAGTTAAGCACAGATGTGTACTTACTCCTACCCTCTTTGGAGTTACTTTTCACTTCCTTTGACACATGCCTTTCGAGATCAGGAGGGTGGTATATTAATTCATTCTCGATCTGACGGCAGCCTTTACAATGCTCGCAGGCTGAAGGCCAAAACCAGGATAAGAAAGGTACTGATCAGAGAGCTGCTGTTTGCAGACGATGCCGCAACAACCACCAACTCAGAAGAGGAGCTGCAATGTTTACTATCTGCCTTTGCTGATTCGTGCTATAAATTTGGACTAACAGTCAGCAAAAAGAAGACAAAGGTTATTGTACAAGGTGTCAATGACAGACCTAGTCTACATTGACGGCGAAGAGCTTGAGACAGTAGACCATTTTATCTATCTGGGTTCCACAGTGAATAGGAATATCGCTGGACCAAGAAATCAACTTCAAATTGACAAAAAGAGTTTGTGAGAACAGAAAGCTCACAATTAAAACAAAAACCCTTGTCTATCAGGCTTGTGTTCTCAGCACACTGCTTTATGGCAGTGGAACTTGGTCAACCTATTTGCACCAGGAGAGACGGCTTAATAGCTTTCACATGCGATGTATAAGAAGAATACTTGGCATTAAGTGGCAGGACAAAATCGCACGAACAGAGGTGCTGGAAAGAGCAGGTACTACAAGTCTTTTCCATGCTCAGTCTATGAAGGCTTATGTGGCTGGGTTACACCTGGAGACATCCTTTATCGTGAATTAAAGACAGGAAGAAAATGTCATTATAAAGATGTGTGCAAGCGGGACATGAATGATACAGGTACTGAAGCGGACTCATAGAAACAAAATTATATGGACCGTTTTGTGTGGAAAGGGCATATCAGAAAGGAAATGAGACTGAAGTAAGAAATGATTGCAGAAAGGATGAAAGCTGAGCGTCTGAGAAAAAAAACGGATTAAACACAACAGTGGTCCTGAAATCACATGCTATCATAGTGAAAGACATTTCTTGACACGGGCGGGTCTTGCTAGTCACCGCCACTGGCTTTGAGTCTCATGTCTCCTCACAGCGCAATTTAACACTATCCTCTGGAAAGACGGAGAGGTGCCAATGATATGTGATGGAAAGCCCATATTCCTCATGATTTCCTAAAGTTTCTGATTGTGTAGCCTATTGCTTTTGAATAATAATTTTTAAAAATGAGAATAGTTAATTCTTTTAACTTCTCTATTATTGAAAGCCTGTTGACAATACCATCTCTTGTTTTTCTCCCTTGTCTAAATCCAGCTGGAACCACTTTAATTTCTTCCACCTTTTTATGTAGTTTTCCCATTATGATTTTTAGTAAAATTTTACAAATATTTAAAACAAAACTAAAGCGGGACTATGAGCACACAGGCCATGAAAAAGATGTATAATACTCTCAACCACTTTTTTTACGTTACAGACACTAAACGACAGTCGAAAGCTTTAGGTTGAAATTACTTCCTTGTCTTTCTTCAAGTCCACAACAGGTTGAATTCTAGAAAAATCATTGAACTGATGCAAGGAGAAAGAATTTATCAAAAGAACCATCATCAATCAGCAAGTCCTTTACAGAACATTGCTCTCTTAATGGCATGTCTAAAAGAATCCCTTTCTCTAGCCAGCTCTCCATGTGCTTTTAATACCAAAGCATCTTCAATTGTTACTAGTATTTTTAAACGTGAATACATCAAATAAAACATGTTTCCACGATGCCAATAAACTACACACAACATGCACGCTAACTACCATAGAACAAACACTTGATTCACATCTTTTACAGAGTTTATTCTTAAAGTGTGAACAGATTAAATCGTGGACCAACTATCCACAGGACACAAGCATCTATTTAATCAATGTCAGGTATGCCTCAATTATCTAGTTATTTTCACTCTTTGTCCTCTTCTTTTTCTTCTTCTTGTTAATGGAAACATCACCTTCTTGAGTGGTGTCCAGAGACACGCTCACGTCCATACTTTCCTCGGCCTTATTCTTCTTCTTCTTGCTCTTCTTTGGCGACTCATTGTTCACCTCCACCATTTCTTCCTGGGTCCCATTGAGACTGTCCTCGTGCTTTCCTTTCTTTTTCTTCTTGTTTTTCTTTACCAAAGACCCATCTGCTTTGGAGTCATTCAACAGAGCTTGTGAATCATCCAAAGTTGAGTTGACTGCTGATTCATCCAGCTCACCCTTGCTCTTCTTCTTTTTTTTCTTCTTCTTTGGTGGCTCACCGTTTTCCAGATCAGCTGTATCATTCATTGTGTCATCTGCGGTGGCTTCTTCTGTGTCACTTCGCATTGCCTGTTTGCGCTTTTTCTCCTTTTTGTCCAGCTTCTTCTGTACCTTCAATGCTTTCTCCCTCGCTCCTTGGGCCTGAGAACAAAATTAATGTGTTTGATAAATCATAAAGGAAAAAAAAGAAGTTGCACACTTAATAAAAGAGTAATGGACCAACATCACAGCATTCAGGATATACTCGTAAGTTACCCGACCCCATCTTCAGCAGCCAGAGTTCTATTTCTACTGGTACCAGCAACAGTCTGATTATAAATAACAGTCTCTCTTTTCTCTGGGTGCTGGCCAGATTCTTTTGGTCAATCGCTACTGTGTGTATGCAGGGAAGCTGACATAGGCATCCTCAAGATCTAGTGCTGCCACTGCAGACTCCTGTCTATTTCATTCTCAATCTGACGGCAGCCTTTACAATGCTCGTAGGCTGAAGGCCAAAATTAGGATAAGAAAGGCACTTATCAAAGAGCTGCTGTTTGCAGAAGATGTCGCAATAACCACCCACTCAGAGAAGGAGCTGCAATGTTTACTATCTGCCTTTGCTGATTCGTGCTGTGAATTTGGACTAACAGTCAGCAAAAAGAAGACAAAGGTTATGGTACAAGGTTGTTAATGATAGAACTACATTGAAGGTGAAGAGCCAGAGACATTAGACCACTTTACCTATCTGGGTTCCACAGTGAATAGCAAACTATCACTGGACCGAGATAAAAAAAATATACTTTTGAGCGTCTATGTTTTGCGTAGTCGACCTCTAAATGATTGGTCATAACAAACTGACTGTTACCCACATTTCCAGAAGATAGAATTCAAAACTTTGAACATCAACATCTCACCTGCGATGTGAGAATTAGCTGGATACACTTTATTGTACCTGTTAACTTTCTGGCAACTTACCTCGACGACTGCCTGTCTCATGACATCAATGTTCTTGGCAGGATTCTCCCCTGTCTCGTAGAACTTGAGCCTGTCCTCAACCTGCTGTCGCAAGTGTTCACCAATGACAGAAGTGGGGACATCTGTGAAAATACACACAATCAGTAACCGTTTACACTGGGTAACAACTGTTTAGATGCCAGAAAACAAACTACAGCAGTGTTCTTTTAACAAGTATAATAACGGAGACTACGCCAAGCTGATACCAATAAGTAGAATGATAAATCAATACCCTAGCCTATAAATAAAATCAATAGTGTCCACAATAGAAAACGTTACTTGCAATTATCAACATAAATATAAAATAGATAAATTCCACTGGTAATTTATATATATATTAAAAAAAAATATGACAACGTCCTAGTCTGTATAGTTATAGTGTGTAATGTTTCAATTTAACAAATAAAATGAGATATATAAAAAAAAAATATAAAGTCCACAGTATTTAAAACCTATAAATAAAAAAGCAGTGTTCCCATACAATGCTCCAATATATTATCTAATACTTATAACAGAAAATAGGCACTCACCAGAAAAGTTGTCAACCCTTGAGGCTATAGAACACTTATTGGCCAGGTAACGAGATATGCGACCTTTATTTTTAGCTCCAGCTCTCCCAATGAAGGTGGAGTGAAATATGAGTCCATACTTGGGGGTGTTGCCTCTGGTCTTGAGAGCCCTAAATGACAAATACACAAGAAACATTCAGATACCCAACTTTGTAAATGGTTAAAACATACACAATGCTACGTTTTTAATTTTTGCAGACAGATAAACTGCTCATAACAGATTATCTGCTTTTTAGGTCTACACGACACCACTGCCAACACTATTTTGATTTAATATATTTTTTGCATTCAGTATGACAACTTTCCCTATACTTGCTACCCTTCAAAAACAGTTGTCATGTCCAACTCTAGTGCTAACTACATGTGTTTGTGCTGCTCTTTGATAAGATGTCAGAGGAATAATCTGCTAATCTGACTTGAATATCTACATATAACACATGAACAGAACATCAGCAGTTTCAAATTTTCACCTTTATGGCAGGACTATTCGAGCAAGTGTACCCAGGAGCAGGCTAATGGGGATCGTCTCAAAGGCCAGAGCCTCACTACAGAAAGATCACTAGTACCATTCAAATGGCCATGATCCACGGGCCACCAGTTGAAAAGCCTTGCTTTCTGTTATTAAATACTGCAAGATAAGAATTACCTGAACAAAGCTTTCTCTGCTCCTAGAATCTGTACTGTCGATGCAGGATATTTAGCCAGGTTAGTCAAGCTGCCAGCATGGGAGATCAGTCGAGCACCAACCTGAGAGATAAAATAATGTTCATTTACTGTTAATTAAACCAACAACCTAAGAAATAAAACCGTAACTAGTGATGCTAAACCTGCCCAACATGAATTTTGAAAGGAAGTAAAGTATTAATTAAATAACTAGCGTTGAATATTTCAAAAAGGCAATGCTAGATTTCTAAAAAATGTAAATACACCATTTAAAAATAAAATTTTAGGAGGGCTATATTCAACTCCTAAATGTGGAAATAAAATGTTAGAAATTTCATTTATTAACAATAAGTGGTGAAGAATTTAAACTTCAATTTAAAATGCTGTATTGCAAAAAACCTACACCCTATGGTAGAAAAATTGTGAATTAAGAATCAACATCACAGCACTTGGGACACTATAATAAGTGCTTCGTTCCTATCTGCAGCAGCAAGCGAAGAGTTCCAATTCTGATAGTACCAGTAACTATTTAATTGTACATCCGCTCTGGCAGTGCCATTCTACTCAGACTGTAATGATCTATCTGTGCCTCCTTACTGTTTACTCATGCCAAAGGGCTACCATAACATCTAGCAGAAAAACTGCACAGGTATAGTGAACGACATTGCCGTAAAACAAACATACGCCCTTCAGAACGCGAGGCAAATGGCTCATCGCTTCGCCAGATACGTAGACGTAAGACAAAGGAAGCAGGATAACAACAACTTTGTCTTTAATTAGAAAAAAAAAAGTTTTCTATATCCACCCACAAGAAAGTGGATCCAACAATTACCTGCTCGCCAATGAGTGCAGCCAGATTTGGGGCCACGCTGACCATTTTATTGTGAAGGTAGTCGGCCAGAGTCTTCCTGTAGTCGGCGAGACTGAGCACTCGCTTAGAAAACATCTGGATGTTAATCAGATCAATTGTTCCTATGTCAATACCTGTAAATAAAAAAAAACAGAAACCACTATAACATTAAAACTTTCATTCCTAGCCTTCTCAGTCACACTTAACACTGAGCTGTCTCACGGTCTGGAAACATGCCAACTGTTTGCAAAACATAGAAGCCTCATTTTCACATCAAAATGTCAAAGATGTATTCACTTCTTTGAACATTCGTAGACTTTGTAAAAATTTACAGAGGCAGATCTCACCCGCTCCCATTCATCTCAGGTACTGAACTTCTCTTTCCAGCTGGTTTGTAGATCATGTTTATTCTTTCAAGTATCTTCTTGGTCCTGTTTACTAATCTACTGTGTGCATTAAATTTTTTTACTATCGTAGTCTCTTAGTACTAAGTAACCATTTCATTTTGCGGTGAATTTAGCTACATCTCACTTTGAAATAGAAACTAAAGAAAAGAAACATACCCATAGAAGACTTGGCTGCCTCCATAATTGCTCTGGCCTTAGCACTGTCCATAACAACTTCTTCAATCTGGCTTTCCATTTCTGGTGTCAGCTTGGTGCGGTCACCAATCAAACCGGTCAGTTTTGCAAACATATAATTATCGTTGACAATCTTCACCAGCTCTGGAAAGTGATATGAGTACCACTCCCTGTAAAAGTTAAAACAGATTATAATTAACAAATAAACAATTCTGTAAAACCACAATCTTTCTGACACTGACAAATAATCACACACTAGACATTTTATACACATTCAGAGCCAAAGTTGTGGGAGATGAGATCTGTATATGCTCGCCGGCCTAAATTCTTGTGGAAAAAAAAATATTTCAAAACTGACGGAGCCTTAAGAAGGTACCACAGAATGAATGAAGTGAAACTGAATGCTTCATCAGAGTTTAAATTTGTCTATAAAATAAATGGTTGGCATTACAAAGAAAACAAAACTTGTTTAAACAATTTTAAATGTTCTCTCACTGAATGAGAAGACATTTTTTCTTGCTTGTTTCTTTCTTAAGCAATGGCAAATTATCTTAGAAATGCTAAGATGAGAGGCACATGCTTACACAAATGCCTGGCCGACTTTCAAGCTCTTGTAAATACATAGTTTTATTAGAGTTCGGCAGAGGTATAACTTGCATTCCGGACATGTGTCAAGGGAAAAATTTTCTCAGTAATATGATAGCCAGCATACCATAGATTCTAAAAGAAGCTAAATCTTCACAACATTCAAAGAAAGAATAGAGGCCCTTTTTCGGCTACCTCTATAAGTTTGCTTAGTGTTCGTTTCCGTTCAAACATATGCAGTTCTTTCAGAACATTGTGACCTGATCTCGCTCCCATTCGACGGCGGCAAATAGTATTGTATGTCTCGTTGTCTAACCGGCTCCTAAGAGAGCTGACACTCCTCCATGTACGCGACTCAAAACGGGACAGTCAACTCAACCAGTCCACTCTGTTAGCACAGATGGAGTTCACCTTGGTCCTTCCCTAGAATGCCCAGCTGTGAGCCAATGACCCTAAACTGGCTGGCGTTAGCCCATTCTAGCCTGGTCGACTGGCCGCAACTCCACCTTCACAAATTGGTGGACCTAGGGCTTTGCATGCGGACGGACGTGCCGAGAGTTTGCTAAACACAACTCAAAGTGGGTTGTGCAGACCTATAAATAAATCATTGGCATTAATAGAAAACAAACTTGTTTAAACAATTTTAAATGTTCTCTCACTGAAAGAGCCGACATTTTTATGTGTTGTGTTTTTTTAAAGCAAACCCAATTACAGATAAGCTAATTGAGAACAGGCTTTTTGTGACCAACAGTTTATAGATATCGTTGCATGTATGTAACTTGCATGTGATAATAAGCAATTAGTAATATGATAGCCAGCATACCATAGTTTCTATAAGAAGCTAAATGTTGCATGCATGTAACATGGATAAGCAGGGAACAGTTTTTGCTTGGATGCCATAAAGCTATTTTATATCTACAGAATGCACAGACCTGATTCATGAGAAAGTATTGATAATAGTCTAACTGAAGAGACTAACACTCTTTATGATCTATTGTCCACTCTGCACGTTGACATGGACCTTGTACAGTTTTGTAAAAGACAACAGCTTTTTATATGTCATATTGTTGCATGCATGTACAAATGGATGGATAGTTTGTGCGAAAGCTAAGAGCTTTATGTCTAATGGCGTGCATGCAAATAACATGGATAATACAGTTTTGTAAAAGCCGACATCTGTATATATCTATTGCTTGCATGTAAACCCATACACATAAGACATTAAACAGTTTTGTGAGAGCTAACAGCTTTATGTCTATTGTTGCATGCATGTAACATGGATAATACAGTTTTGTAAAAGCCAACACCTTTTTATATCTATTGTTGCATGCATGTAACATGGATAATAGTTTTTTGAAAGCTAAGAGCTTTATGTCTATTGTTGCATGCATGTAACATGGATAATACAGTTTTGTGAAAACTAACAGCTGTGTGTGTACTGCTGTACACATGTAACAAGTGGACAATAAGCAGACAAGCTGAGAAATCTCCAGTGTTGTTTCTGACAAAAATATATAAAAATGGACAGATGAAGGGGGAAAAAACAAAACAATCCTCAAAAACAAATGACATCATTAAATTTAATAAAGAAAAAAGACAAGATTTGTTTGCATATCTTATGAAAGGGAAATAAACTTGAAAACTAATAAATTTGCTGGATAAAAAGCAAAAGAGTGACAGGTTGAACAAGGATTATCAATGTTAATCAGGAAGACATGAGGTGATATGATATAAAGCACCGGGTTTCAACAATGGTTGAGAAAAACAGTGCTCTGAAAATAAACATAACATGTGTAAAGTACACAGAGTCACAGACTAATAATACCTTTAAAATCACTGCCATAACTTACCCCTCATCAGCTCAACGACGACGCCAGTGTACTGGCAGGAGATGCCCAGGACCTCGGAGATGACTGCCCCAATTTTGGCATCGCCCACTCCAAGAATAACCTGGACCTTCTTCTTACTCTTGGGAACCTCTCTCTCCAAAAATGACTGCAGATCAGGATGCAGTTCACCTGAAACACAAGTAATCTTATATGTTGACCTGACCCATCTCTCTGATGTCAAGGATATGCAACTAACTTTGATATGTGAAAATACTGACTGAAATCCATTCTGTTTAACTCCTCTTCTCTTGTCATTTCTTGAATGTTGTAAAGGGGTCAGTTGTGAAGACTCTTTTCCAGTGTGGATTTCAGGCCCCCTGTGTGGCGAAGAACAGACCAATTGCCACTTACAAGGTCTAATTTGAATGTTAAAGTTAGAGCGCATCTGCCCCAGGGATAAGGAATCAAAAGTCTACACACAATTAGGTCAGATCTGTAGAACTGATGTGCATATAAAACATGGTTCTAGAACTTTAGGTCAAGAGTTAACAGCTGGTGAAAGTGAAGAAGAGGAAAAAAAAGATTTGTTCGACACCAATGCCACAAGAGAAAGTGCAGCCTATATTTTTCCATACTAACAGCCATAAATTAACAGAACCATGTCCACAAAAGCTCATGACTAGCATCACTCATCTGTTGTAAGTGTAAGCTTTTAACGTGTGAAGCTCTCTCAGAAAGCCTTTTCTATCACCATGACTGCAATTACAAAGTGAAGCAAATCTGGTTTGCTTATCTACCTGTTTGCATACACTGTGTCTGTCCACCTCTGGACTTTAGCTACGATAACAGTGGTCCTTGTCATGTGGCTATCAATATAGTTCTTACTAAAGAAAACCTCACCTGCAGCAATAGCATTGATGTTGTCCAGAGAATTTGGCCCATTTCTAAAAGCCTGGAAAGCTGTCAGCTTGACGATGGACTGGAACTTGCTGATATCAGTGACGCTGCTCTCAACCTGAGGCAGCAGAGTTGCCACTTCATCAAACTCTTTCACAGAAAATAAGGCATAGCCTGCCGCATGCTCAAACAGAATGTATAGGAGTTTACTCTGTAGAAAACAATATGCATACATTTCTTTGTTAAATATTAAATGTCAAACAGTGAAACTATTACTATTATTGCCAATTAATGCTTTAGAAATAGAAACTGCTGTCTTACACGTGACAGTGGCTTGCACCACTGGATACAAGCTTGTAGGACTTTTTCTATTACCTTTCTTAGGGCATGGTAGTGTATTGGAAAAGAATGGTCGCTGTTGTCCTTCTGGGTGGATAAAAAGTCTTGAGCAGTAATAAATTCACCATATGCTGATTTTTAACACATTTCATCGCCCTCTGTGCCAAAAGAGTTAAAGAGCTGACAATTGATTTGAATTTGTTGACAGAAGTCAGGCTACTCTTAACCTGAGACTGCAAATGCGTTAATGGATAACTGGACAGTGTAGCAAAAACCAGAGACTAAGAGATCCAGTGATGCCTGAGTCTGAACAATAAAGTTAATGGATGTAGGGTGGGGGAGCAAGGGGTGAAACAGGTGGACATTTTTCTCAGTTTCTAGTTGTATCAGCAAATAAACTTTTGTGTTGGTGTTCAACTACTGAGGAATAATAATGTGTCCCAAATGCTGGTGAATATTTCTTGAACCTGAACCCATCTATTCAGAAGAAGAGCTACCATATTCTGGTTCATGCCACAATTTATGTTAGTGAAACAAACTGGCTTTTCCTGAAATCTACTGACCAGCATTTTGAGAACTTTAATTCAGTGCTTTTCTTTAGAGAGTGGAGTCAATGAGAGATTACTTTCCTTACTCATCCTGCATATCCTTTACGAACCAGGAAACTCATACGTCCCTCAGTTATTTCTTCTTCTTGTTTGTCTGAGTGACCTTCTTCTTCTTTCGTTCGCCTGAAATAAGTTGTCTATATCAGCAGTTTTGTCTCTTGTATAAATTTCACTGTCGTTAGTTCATTCAGTGGTCCATATAGTTTATGTTCCACTGTTGTTCTTTCTGGCCAAAAGGTTTGCCTTGTGTCATATTCGGTGCACTCCTGGAGTACATGCTCTGCCGTCTAGGGCACATTTCCACAGGTGCAAATGGCTAATACACCTATCTTGAATTTTGTATACATGTGGTTACGTAATCGGTTGTGCCCTGTTCAGAGGCAGAGGATAATGACTTGTTCTGGTCTGTCCATAATAAAATAGTCGTCTTGTGCTGGGGCTGGTGGTTTCCTGATCGATTTAATGATACTAAGTGACATAAATGTGTTGCGCCTGTTTACAGCAGTGCTGCCATATCTGCGCCTTTTGGCTGTTACATTTGACTTTGTTGACCTGGTTAACTTCATGCATAGTTTTGTGGTTTTCTCGTCTTATCTACACATGCTGCCCCTGTCCAGGGCATCTGTGTGTAGACAGGTTGACCCTCAAAACTCAATGGAAGGAAGGGGCAGACTATCATCAGATTTCCCCCACCATCTAAAACGGCTGCCATAAATGCACAGCCAACACACGACGCTCTGCTCTAGAGCTCACCCAAGGAATCATTTTAGTTGCTATCATAATAGCTAAGTTTTTTTTAGTTCTATGAAACTAAAAACGCAAAAATGATCAAGGAATTATCATCGCTGCAGGCAGACCATCACCTTTCACACTGGGTCCTAGGTCTTACTTCTCCCCTATGGGTCCTAGGTTTAGGACAATTATTACAGTTACACTTCTTCAAAAGACTGTCACAACAGTTCAATCGCGACACTAACGACTGAAGGGTTATGCATGCAGCTGATTGATAAAGGCGCAATTGGGATTTGTTGCAAGTCCCTGTGTATCTGCCCGAAAGAAATCCTAATTTTACTCACTGAGGTCCTGTTAGGGTATTTTCTTAGCCTCAATAATTTGGGATCGTTATCCAAAGGAGAGCCAAAAAATGTGTTACGGCACGGTACCAACAAAATTAGACAAACACTGCTAAAGTAAAATAATTGAGTACATTTATGGTGTTTTGATTCTCTAAAAATATGGGGGAGGGGGCGCTGGTAGACAACACTAATCCTGCGTTAATGGATCAGATCCCTTCTATACAGGAAAGGTGGGAGCATCTGTGACCTGATAATCAGTAATTTACAAATAAAAATGCAGATTAAATTTAGAAACCTGGTCAATAAAGTAGTATAGTAAGCCTTCCATTCCCCTACCTCCGCCTAGACTTTCAATTTTTGATGATAAATAAAAATAGTGGAACTATAAAAGTTTACATGCTAACAATGTAGATTTGTGTCGCAATCTACATGTGTTCAAAAAGACTGAAATAAGTAATATAATGTGTCAATGTACGTAAAACCAACAATCTCAAAGCGTGGCTCCAAAAAGAAAAAACTGGGAGCAAATGAAGTGCATCCTATGCAATTCTTTACTTCACACAATTGTTATTTTTGTGTGTGTAAGTTATGCAAGTAATTCAGCTCTATGATTATTAAGGTACCATGTTCTAAATAAATTAAGATAATAAAACGCTGCTGCAAACCTAAACCTGCTGGACATTTTTATAGTTTTATACCGCCCAAAAACAAGCACGCTGTGCTCTACTCGGAAATGAGAACTCGACGTGAAAAAAAAAAAACTTTCTAATTTCACTAAACATAACACATGGATGTTTGTAAACAACCAGCTCTCAACATTCATCACACATCTATTATACATTCCTAATAACTGGAAAATGTAATTACCATATTGCAGCGTCAATAGAAACAAATAATTTCAACAACGGTAGAAACGCGACCCACACGTGCAGGCCGCCATGAATATCAACACAGGGTACTAGCCAGGTTTCCGGACAATTGTCACACCAAACCAGCCAGTCACAAGTAGAAATAGTGGCCAAATCATCCAAGTGGCTTCTAGACATCCGCTCTTTGTTAAAACATTGAGATAATCATTATTTCGTATTATAGTAACCGCCCTAATCATCATATTGTAGAAGATGTGACAAATTCTAATATTCAAATACCCCTGTGGGTTCCTGGGCCTTCTTATAGGGAAAACAAGAACAGACCTGACCCACTGCCTACCCAAAACCATTTCGTAAAACTTTGCCAACTAATTGGGAGCTTTACTGATGGTGAACGCGAAGAAAAAGTAGACAATATTGGGGGGGGGGGGGGGGGGGGAGGGGGACACACACACACACACACACACACATACACAATAACACAAGTAGCCTTAATGAATAAACGAAATGAGTATCCGAAAGATAAGAAAGCAAAAGTATACATTTAAAATAAGCCACACAAGCTATATCATCATCAAGTGCATTGCAGTCTGGAGTGGGCGATCATGCCTCTACATACACAGTCTGCGATTTTCAACAATATGAATCACTTCGTGTATTGACACCACTAATGCCGTGACAAAAGGCTGTCATGAATCGTATCGCTTTGTTTTTTTTTTTTTTTTTTTCATCCAGTGGAAGGTCCCGGTTAATCGTCCGCTTGGACTTTTGGCCTTCACCTGGACCTGATTTTTGCGTGTACAACCGTTTATTATTTCCCTGCCTCTTGGGCAGCTGTACGCCGACTTCGAAGGAAGACGTCAGGCCTATTTCTAGGGTGACTGTGGCCATTGTTTTGTGTGGGTCGAGACTGCCTGATTTGTGTGGTGTCCGCCTTGTCTCCTTCGCCGCAGGTATTGCCCCCGGAGTACCCCTTTGAGGCAACCCCCTGTGGAACAGTTGGCCCTCAAGGGAAGGCAGGGGCAGATCATGGGCATTCCCCGCCATCCAAGGAGGCTTCCATGCATGCAGAGCCGGCACATGGAGCTCTGGTTCTGGGCTCACCCAAGGAATCGTCGCGTCCTGCACATGCCTGCTTAACCTCACAACCGTATCAGGCCTCCCGCTCGACAGGGGCTGCGCCCTCTGGAAGTCAGCGGGGAGCAGCCCGTTGGTTTTGGACTTTTGTGACCACACGGATAGGTACATTAGCCCGGCAGAATTTAACATCCTGAATCAGGCATATCGTTATCAGTTTTGTCCCAACACTCGGGCGAGTGGGGTCTTTGGGTGTGGACATTCGGCCTTTTGCATTTCAGTGCAAATTTTGATGGTCAGATTTTGATCCGTATGATCTAGTTTAGGCTTAGCCATCCGATGGATGGTTGCTGTTGTGGTGTACCACAGCGCGGTGACGACGACACTGAGGGTTAACCGAGGATGTACGTGACTGGCCAGCCTATGGATGGTTGCTGTTGTGGTGCACCTCAGCGCGGTGACGACGACACTGAGGGCCAACCGAGGATGCACAAGGATGGCCAGCCCATGTATGGTTTCTGTTGTGTTGCACCTCAGCGCGGTGACGACGCCACTGAGAATTAACCGAGGATGAGCATTGAACAATGTTCTCTTTACTCAGCAGTCTTTTAACCAAGGGTTGTGATTTTAGCTGTACTTTTGTCGAACCTACTCATGTTCCTAATGAGTTTTGATAACATTTTTCACCCAAGCGTTTGGGGGCGGGCTGATGAGAGCCACAAGGACACATCACCTCTGGGGGCCGCCAAACTCCGAGATCCCCTGACAGCTCTGTTAATGCTCATTTGAGACATTATCCGTGGCGCACGACGAGGACGTGCTGTATGGGTCTTGCGTGAGGTTCCGTACAACCAGGATAGTAAAGGACTGGCGCCCGAGTGACGTACGGAGTATCTCCTTATACACATCATGTTGGACTTAACTTCCCCTCACACCTGTGACATAAATCACCGCGCCACGTATCGCTTTGTCTTCCTCTATCTTTTTTCCCCACATATCTTTCCAGTGGTCACATCAATATTTTAGTTTCCTTTGTCTGATGACATGAAAAAAAATTGACGACTGTCTCTTTCTGATGTTTGTTATTTCTCTTAGAGCTCGCGTCTCTTTCAAAACATCTAATCTGCTCTTTTTGGCTGTTCAGTGAATTATAAGGATTCCTCTGTAAAACCACATCTCATAGGCTTCAAGAAATTGTTTGGCTTGTTAATTAATTCCCAGGACTCAGCTATGTGTTAAAACTTGCTCTACATAGCGTGCGATATTCTTTTCCTAACCTCTAATTTGTGGCATAAAATGTTCATTTTATACTATGCAATTTTAGCATGCCCTGTTCTGATCTTTATCTTTGTGACACAACTTCCGTCAAAAAGTTTCCGATTTGAGAAACAAAAATTTCTAACTGTATACTTTTTCGGCAGCTCGACGGCCTGTTATGTGAACGAAGGTTCATTTGCTGTCTTATGTAGTGTCCTATTCTTTGTGGTGTGTAGTCACA